GCATAATACCAGGAGTAAGATAATATAGGAGTTGCATGTAATATATCATCGGTAAAATTAGGCAAGCAAATGTTGAATTTCACGTGTTTTGGACTGTCATACTCCTCCTATATTATCTTACTCCTGGTATTATGCGAACTATATATATCAGGGTCCCAAACCAGGATTGAGCCTGCATGGTGAGGATTAGCTGTAGGACTAGAGCTAGGTGAGAACCATGGATAGGGCAGCAGACTGGAATTCTCACAGATGTAAGTTTTCCGATTTTTGGCAGAATTCCAATTTTCTGATGTTTTCAGTATAAAGATTCTGATTCGGTGAGACGGCCTGAAATTGCATCAAAGGACACTGAAAATTCCAAAAAGTTTCTATCTCAAGCATCTCCACCCAAACGCAAGGACATTCAAGTTGCCTCCCGGGTACCTGGCATGTCCTACTCCCATATGTGTGGTTTCGCCCCCCCCCCCATTCAGTGGCCTACAGCCACTGTTGTCGGTGTGTCTTATTATTTTCCTATTTTTTGAACAAATGCCACTTTCTGACATTCTGTAACTGTGTTAGATTGCGTAGTTTTGGGATGTAAATTGCCCTGGGGTAGAAAGAGTACCTGTATATTAGATGATTGTGTTTAATTTGCTGGTATCTGAAGCAGCTATCAGGAGATGCGCTTGTGATAGAACAACTACTTCTAGTGATTGGTGACACCATGTCACACATAGTCACACGCCACCATCACAGCACAAATACGTGACCAATCATCTCCATCTTGCTATCTGTTTGTATCCAAATATTCACTTGTCCAAATTATCTACCTTACACATTTAAATAGAACTCAATTTACCTAGAGAAATATTGCAAAATCATGTGACTAATTTTATATCTATGGTAATGTAAAAGGGAGCAAATTTATGGTGTTTAATATCCAAAAATTCCTACCGGCGCTATTCGTTATGCCAGAAATGCCCAGAATGTTTATTTAGCATACCTATCTTGCCTGGAGTTGAGTGGCGTGACATGTTTTGGAGCTAGGTAGTAGCTCACAGTTAATCCAGATTGCAATCCGCTGCCATTACTCGTGTTCTAACCGGCAATTGCTCTTGTTTATGTTGTCACAGTGAGTAAATCTTGTGCATAATTGGTGAGATTTTTTTCGGGCAAATTAAGTTCTACCCAAATGCAGCAGGGGTGATAATTCAAACCAGAGAACTCTTGGGTATTAATCATATGACAACACCAATTTACCTGAAAATCGTATGTGTTCTTCAAAAAAGTTCTTTTAATACGACACGGTTTCACAGTTTTGCCAAATGTTCGCATCTATTCGGCACATGTTCATATGCGGCGGCAGCACCAGGTTGTAACTACGGGATTCTGGGGGCTGTTGGGGATATTAGGTAAGCACAGTAACAGCACTTGTTTCGTTTCCTTATCATCAGGAACACGATGACAACACAGCTAAAATCAGCTGCTAGCTCGCCGTGAGCACACATTTATTTCTAGCACGCTAGAAACGCTACACGCTGAATACAATTCGATGCCTAATATCCCCAACAGCCCCCAGCATTCCGTCATAGACAATAGAACACTAATCCGATAATAAACTTGCGCCGAATAGATGTGAACATTTGGGAAAACTGTGTGACACCGTGTCGTATTCAAAGAACTTTTTTGAAGAACACATACGATTTTCAGGTAAATTGGTGGTGTCATATGATTAAGGGAGAATGATAGACGAAAACAAGGTAAAGTTTGAATATATTTATTCACTTATTGATAGAATATTTACAAGTTGAAAACTATGCAAAATGCTGTTAAAACGGTGTCATACTCTTCTCTATTATGAGCTCTTAATATATATATACATACATACGTACATGCACACATGCAAGCACACAGGCACGCCATCACATTACAACATTCACTGTACTATCGAAATAAGGCCAAGGAAATCTCTTGTGCCTTTGCCATTGCCTGACACAGAGATCTCACAATTGTATGCATGAGCGCATTTTTATCTTGTAAAGAGATGACGAGTTAATAACACATACATGACTCAGGGGCGTCCAGGTCTGGTCTGGTCCCCCACCTGCTCGCGCAGAAAACGCATCTAAGGGGGTCTAATTTCAAAATTTTTCTGTTCCTTTTTTTCCCCTTCGCATGCTCGAAAGTTTGGGTTACGGTTAGACCCCCCCCCCCTGTTACAAATCCTGTACACGCCCCTGTGACTGCATTGCAAACAACGAAATAGTCTAATAATCATCCCTCTTCACCTAATACCATCACCCCATGCATTGCTGTAAATGTGCAGTCATTTACAAGTGACCTTATGAATCATTAGATTAAAGCCTGAGGACAATGCCGCATTCAGCAAAATAAAGCGAAACGCCAATAAGTGCCGATTGTAAAGTCCAGGAAAACATTTATTATTATACATATCTAGTTATCTACTATAAAACCACGTTTATTCTAGTGTGATGTACGAACATTTCACTATTTTTCCAGGTTCTCTTTTACTCATGATAATCTGGTCGGCCACACAATACAATTCACTGTGTTATGCAACGGTATGGAAAGTATTTCTCGCCTGGACACGAACTAGATAAAATTACAAGTGTGAACGAGGAAGCAAACCCGTGAACATGACTACACATCGCTATGCATCGCTATGCATCGCTATGCATCGCTATGCATCGCTATGCAGATCGAATATGTACGATGAAACCAGCTGTGGCCACACCCAACTCACCTATGAGTGTTAGCCTGTACTCATCGCCCTCAAACCAATCATATATCTTGCCCCACTGGCCTTGCCAGAAGTCACCTGAAGCTCCCCAGCACTGCTGCAGATGCCTGCAAATTCATATATCAAGTTAAATTTGATGTCACATTCGATCACCTACTAGCCGAATGTAGGTTTTTTCATTTCTACAAAAAGATCTGCTGTGGTCCGAATCATCGGAGTCTTCAGACTGACGTCAAACTTAATATTAAACCTTGAAATCTCATCATCACAATTTTAAATAATAAAATCAGACAAAATACATTTTCAGCAATTTTCACTGCAGTGCAGTTCATCAACGAATTGGTTACATTCCCGAACTTACCAGGTCACAGAGTTCCTGAAAGCCACTAGAACAACGAAGGAAGTTCCTATCACAAAGAAACTCTTGCGGATAGAGTCTATGAAGCGGACGGAGGTGCTCTGGCGTGGAGGAAGGGAGGGGTTCTCAGATTTCTCCTCTCCTACTTCCAGCCTCCCCATTGGGGTGCAGGTTGGCTCACACTCAGTCATCTTGCACCAGATATTACAGCTGTAGTTATGTCCTGCGTGAGAATACGAGAATACACACGTTACGTGATATCGTGGAACTTGCGGTTCTTCCTTCTGCACGGCTCGAGAGAGAAACGGCAAGTGACTTACGCTTGACGAAGTCCAACCTTATGGCTAAACTGTGACGTCACTTGTCAGTCTATATAAATGGACATTGTGCTGTCACGAATCAACAGTAAATTTTGTCCTTTGATGTTGTGATGTTCTAAATCATGTGATCATAAACTGATAAGATATGTGAACTGGGTGCATGATATTTTTATCTAGAGCGCGTGCTGGCAATTGATAATCTCATGTGGCTATCAAGGACACTAATAAACTGTGGTGGATAAATGACATCACGAATCATACATTAACATATAAATTTAACACCGGCACCGCTAGTGAGAAAACAATATGGGAAGAAAGTGGATAGGAACTTAGTGCACAGCGTAAGTCACATTTCATGATGCAGCGTTTACAAGCCAGTAAACTATGCCATTCTCATTCCTCATTATGAAACTAAGATGGCCTTGAAATGTCTGGAAATAACCTGTATCATCGTGCGTCACACGGCGTGTTTATTTTCAAATATACCTAGATAACATATGACATTTGGCATTATTCACCCCTGGTATAGGGCACCTGAGTTCACGCCCTAGTGTCTCTATTAACATTAACGAACAATGATTTTATTTCAACTTCGACTGAGAAAAGGCCTCTGTAAGCTAATCGTCTGTGGTGCTGCGTTTATATCAGTTTAATACTATCAGATATTTTTACAAGTATATATATACTGACAAGAGGTGTGGAGGTTTAATAAAACTTTTGGTTTTGTCTGCACTCTACCAATACAACCCTTTATCTATTAGTATTATCCACTAAAGTTGTTATTTTGTTTTGCTGGTCCAAATTTCTTCATTAATTTTACTTTCAGTCTTTGTTTTTTGTTTGCTATCGCATATCGGAGTGAAGTTTATTGAAGAAAAAAACAACAACAACGAAAAAGCATGTTAAGCTGTCACATCACGAAAACTAGTAGTTACGTAACATAGAATTGCTAATAGACTGCCTAAGGCTTTGATATCAAACTGCTATATTATTCTGGTGTTATACAGGTGGAAAACTTGTCTGGTTAACGAACTATAACTTATATTGCGACTCAGGGGTTTCCACAGGATTTTAGAAGGCATGTCGTTAATAGATGGAAGGGAGCCCACGAGGGGGTTGTACCAATTAGAGCCAACCACATGAATTATAAGGCTCCGCAACACACAGGTAAACTCAATCAGTTTGATGACAAATACGTGAAGCTGTGAAAACACTGCATGATTGCGTTGGGATTGTCAAAAGTAAATACTGCTGGAAATGACAGAACGTCAATTAGGCAATTTATGCACGACAGAAGAATCTGGGGTGTTGCCAAAATAACTTCCGCTCTGAAGGCATGTCACTGTCAGTGTCAGATTCGACAAATGTTAAAAGCCTATAGTGAGAACCCGTGACTACTAAGTCTCAATGACATTGTCCTATGAAATACATCCTTTGAATCTCGACTCCTTTATAGTGACACATGTATGCAACTCAGTGTGCAGATTCTGTGTATATGGTAGCATTCCAAAGGCGACACTGGTGCAGCTAATACTAATGCCATACCTTACTACAGCATCATGGCTCACTAACCATGAACTTTCTCTCACTCCAGCCTGAGGCAGCTGTGATCAACGTCTACACGCAATATAGCTATTTAAGTTACCTTCTCGCTTCTTATTATGTGGCAGTCGTAGAGCCTACATGCAACAATACATCTTGCAATACATCTTGCAATACATGACAGTGCAGATGAGGCAGAACTACTCTTACTCCAACAACTGAAACTAGAATCACAAAACTACTAGTACACTGAGTTTTTGGACTTTGATTGAACACATTCTCACAGGCACTTGGGGCATCTCAATAATAAGATTATACCGAATAAACACGAATTGCATAATTTACTAACAAAATTTTTAATGTTTATTTACTGTTTTTCACCTAATAATTCCATGCAAATGCTGTTCAAACTTAGTACTGAGTGCACTAAAGTGACACACACCATCGAGTACAAACATTTAAAAAAAGAGATATATATATATAGTCTCCTTTCTTGTTTTGTTAGTTTGTGCCAGTGCCAAAGCTTAGTGTGTCACTACGTCATGTGTAAGCCAATAAATTGTGCCATAAAATTTATATAATCTTATGATATTTTGGGCCGAAAATATCATCGGATTATAAAAATGTTAGGACACAATTTATTGGTCCATATCATGTGAAGGCTGGATGCAGTTATGCCCACATACTGATACCAAGTAAGTCTACCTCATAACCTCATAAAGATTAGTCTTCTAAGTCCAAGGGGCTATGATGACACAGAGAGACAAAATTCATCAAATAGACAGATCAACACTACAGACCACAGTAGAAAAAGCTTACATTTTGCGATTAACCAAAGAGGGAGTAAGACTAAGATAATTCCAAAATGGAATGACAAAAAGTTAAACGAAGAAGCTAAACAATAAGGAATCCTTTGAAAATGGTACATGTCAGAAGCAATGATCACGCTCAGATGATCGAGTGCTAGGAATAGGATTCATTAAAAGTAAGAGGGAATGCCAATCTTTACCTGACCATGATAAATTTTATGAAAGGTTATAAGTTTAGCAGAGAGAAAGCAGACACAAAGAGGAGGCCAATCAAGCTGAATCAAAACAACCTCTTTATGCTGAACGGCAATAAGATGTGAATGCTAACTTAGAGCAGTTCTAAAGTGCCTATAGGTGTGCCAGCCTGGCGAAGCATATTCTAATAAGGTGAGAAATATAGTTTTAAAAGCCAGGCACCAAGTTTTAGAATCGGCAAGGATAGGATTACGGCGTAACATAGCAAATAAAAGGAGACACAAACCTATCCTAGTTTAGCACCCTAGCTTAGTTGAGCACATTTGCGAAAATGATGGTCGAGGTCCTAAACTAGGATTGAGCATGAGACGCTTTTCCACAAATACAATCAATACGATCAGCCCAAGGATATAAGAGCTGTTAACATTTGCACATAAATTTGCACGTCGCACATTGCGAAAATGAATTGGGGACAGCTCTTATATCCTTGAACCAATATAATCAATGTGCGCATTGAATGCAATAACAATGACATATATTTCTAATGTTTCTATATGTATAAAGCTTTATATATTATTATATCATTATAATGGTGACACAACACACTCGCAGCGGCGTTAGTTTTTATGAAGGAAAGTTGATATACAGTGACACAACAGTGGAACTGTAATTGAGAGGTACGGTAGTATTGCTCATAGGGTCTATGTACCCAGGAACACTATCGGAGGGCACCCTGGAAACTATCTGATATGGTTATGGGTTAGCGGTTAGGGTTAAGGAGTAGGCGTAGTGTGACTCCCTAGACTCGTTACTAAACGACGTTAGTCACTTAGTGGAGGTAGGCGAGGTACGTCTGCAGAATAGTTACCCAGGGTAACGTTCCGAGATATCGAACCGTACCCCAGGGATACCTCCGATAGTTAACCCTGGGGCCTGGGGCACATTAGACCCTCTCAGCGGTATAACTAGTACTTACTAAGTACCTACTAGTAAGTAGTACTAAAGTAACTACTATAAATTGTGAATGTCGCGTTCATATTATGCTTTTCAGTTTTTACTCGACTTCTGTCCCAGCTCCCAAGTGCCAGTGTTCTTCATTGATCACAACATAATACACATGACTACGCGTCTAACACAACTATATATCTAGTTACGAGCATAATAATTATGCTGAAGAGTGAACATACAATAACACTCTGCGCTAAAAATTAATAACAAACAAGGAGCTTACCTTGAACGACTTGAGAAGTTCTATCGTTGGTTCTATTCTTCGTTTTGTCGTCTTTTCTTTAGTTCGTAAAACGCTACAACCAGGCGGTGAAGTAAAAAGAGCATACCCCCGTCTAAATCGTAATGACAATGACAAGAAGGATACTAATCGTAATCCTGTTTATCAAGTGGTCACGCAGTGATTATTGACTCATATATTGTCCGTGGATACTAAACAAATTTACAGATGAACTTCAGCTCATCAACCCAGTAAGCGTACCAAATCTTACGTAAATATCGGGGGACAGAGCAAAATGATGAAAATTCACTAACGCGCGTAAATACAAAATTACAATTAGCCTACAATAATGTCACAATCAACATTACAATTTAACAATTACAATTACAACATGTTCAATCATTATACTAGGGCCTGCACTCCTACATAGTACATTGCCTAACACTACACTCTAGTCCTGTACAGATCTACATTGTTGGGTCATATTATTCAATTCGACAATGGTAATCTGACGCGGTAGGTCATTCATCTCTCCACAGCCAAAGCACAACAACAAAAAGACTAGCTCTAAGTATAGCTCCAGAAACGGTATTGCTTAGGAGGTTAGAATACGCGTTTTCAGTATTCTTGCCCACAATTCTTGTAGTTGGCTCGGTAATCCAACATTCAACACAGCTAGCGTCACATGTAATAGTTACTCAAAGTTCAAACGAATCTTATAAACCTCTGCTTGCCTCGCGGTAACTGGCGCTACTGGCGCTACTTATTTATTGAGTTATCATGTTGATGCCGTTTTTTCTGGAGAATGAATTGGATCAAACAACCAGACACGCCATTCTGCCATGTTCAGTGCAACTAAAATCGGCAATGGACCTGATTCACAGTGCGTAGGCAAATACAACGCCAAGTACATATCTTCGCAATGATAATTTTAAAGTGTTGTAGATTGACCGATTCCTGCGTTTTTCAAATGTTTTTAATATTTTATATATACAGTACTGTGATGCTTCTTTAATGCTCGCGCCAACAGCACAGTAGCAACGCTTATGGTATGTGTTATGTCGTTTCGGGTTTTCCGCGTGTCCGTTCGAAAATCAGCGCATCTGCAAACATGCGGGTGCGGTTAGCTTGAAATTTCGGTTTGGCTCTTGAATATTAAACACTTGAACCAGCAAACTGAGGTATTAGTTTTTAATAACAACGCTGGGAAAATAGCTATAAAGGTGAGGTATAATCTTGATACAAAACAAGGCAGAAATGCTTAGAGATAGTGATTTTATTTGAGAAATAACGTAATTGTTCGGTCTAGTTTTTGTACAGCTACAAGATTTTTCAATGGATGGATGTCAGCGGGTGTATTGACGTTAGTCACACAGCCTGGTCGGGTTTAGCTCTCAGTAGTACTATTAGTATAATAATACGAATACTAACGTACTAGTACTATAGGCCGCGTTACGCGTACAGTCTGGCCGCAGTGACACTACACACACACCACTAGGTACTATAGCAGTAGCAGTGTGTAGTGTGCAGTTGATTACAATAATGTAACCCAACCCCAAGAATAGGGTTACAAAGTGTCCCTATCTTTCTCTGCCGGAGGAATGCCCGAGTGATCACTCGGGCGCCGGTTTGCTGGGCGTTTTCAGACTACTAGAAACTGCCAAACTGGGTTAATTGCTAATGCACGAGACCTTCTCCGCTATTCGCGAACTAGCTCAAAGTAAACGGTATTGCTAGGGTGTAGAATACCTATTAGAACGTTTCAGTCAACACAGCCTGGTCGGGTTATTACGGGAACGTTACTATGTATCGCAATACTCTGTATTAAAACTGAATATAACCTGTTACAAAAATTCGAAGTGAACGAGCGTCGAATATACGGACGGCCCATTTCTGTGACGCTGTGAGCGTACTTCGGTTGAGAAGGATTCCACCGACCAATCCGAGGGCGCTGCGTTTGCCGATCGCTATGCGCATTGGGAAAATGCGTACGTCACAGGTCAACAGAAATGGCGGCTCAGTGATATTCGCGCCGTCACCTCGAATTTTTGTAAGTTATATTAGTATTAATACAGAGTATTGCGATAACATAGTAAGCTTGCCGAATAGCGCGAGAAAGGTTCTGTTTAGGAATCAAACCGCAGTTTGGAAAAGTTGTTCTAGTATCTGAAAACGCACCAGCAAACGCGCCCGAGTGATTCACTCGGGCATTCTCCGCAGAAAGGAATAGGGACAGCTTTGTAACCCTATCCTCTTGGGTTTGGGTTACATTATTGTATCTAGTGTGCACAGGTACTATAACTTATACGCAGTGGCTATCATCCCGGCAAGCGGGCACGGTCTTCGATGTCTAAATGCGCCGGCAGTCCACATCCACATCATGCACGCACATACATAATATATTAATTCAATAACCCTGAATAGCCAGAGCTCGTACAGCATGGGCGTTACGTCTGAAAGGTTTTGTCGAATCCGCCATCTGCTTTATTTTAATTTTTTTTAAATTTTTTAGTTTTTTTATCTTCATCATTTAATAACAATTTTTCCCAATTAACACAAATATTTACATGGTTTAATTTACAACAAATTGAATTGAAAAAAAAATTTTTAATTAAATAAATTATATTAGTGCTTAATTAAATCTTCATTAGGGTTGGGTTAGTCAGAAACATCTGACAAGCAAGGTCAAACTGCCAGGCATTTAGGAAATCGAAGACCGTGCCGGGCTGCCGGGCATATAGCCACAGCGTAACTTATAAGTATAACGCGCGAATATAAAATGCACAAATCATTGACATTGTGCACATAAGTGAATAATGGAGTGCAGCTTACAGTCGTTTCTTAGGCCAGTCTATAGTCACTTTAAATAGCATTACAGGATCCCAATCCACCAAATAGTTTAGCACCCCGGATTAGTTTAGCATATATATATGGTATTATGCAAACTATATTATACAGGGTCCCAAACTATGGTTGAGCCTCATGTGAGACTGCTGTAGGACTAAGAGCTAGGTGAGGACCATGGATAGGCAGCAGCCTGGAATTCTCAGATAATGTAGAGTTTTCCGATTTTTGGCAGAATTCGATTTTCTGATGTTTCAGTATTAAGATTCTGATTCGGTGAGACGGCCTGAATTGCATCAAAGGACACTTGCAAATTCGCAAAAAGTTTCTATCTCAAGCCATCTCCACCCCAAACGCAAGACATTCAAGTTGCCTCTGCCGGTAACCTGGCAATGTCCTGCTCCCGTATGTGTGGCTTCCGCCCCCCCCCATTCAGTTGCGCCTACAGCCACTGTTAATCGTGTCTTATTATTTCCTATTTTTTGAACAAATGCCAGCTTTCTGACATTCTGTAAACTGTGTTAGATTTGCGTAGTTTTGGGATGTAAATTGCCACTGGGGTTAGAAAGAGTACTGTATATTAGATGATTGTGCTTTAATTTTGCGTATCTGAAAGCTCATCAGGTATAAGATTCGCTTGTGATAGAACAACTTACTTTCTAGTGATTTGGTGACACATGTCACACGATAGTCCACACTGCCACATCAGCACATAGCAAAATACGCGACCAATCATCTCCACTTGCTATCTGTTTGTATCCAAATAGTCACGTCAAGTCCTTGTGCTTTTGGAAAAGGCAAGGCGAGTGAAAAATCGCTACACCTTAGCAGCGAGAAACGAGGTGTGTGATTTGCATCGGAGTGCCCCAGCAGGGCATGCACGGGGCAAACATAGGGGGTTTGGGGCAGCCCCCTGGAAAAAATTTGAAAACTAGACTTCATGAAATGCCATGTCCAGATTTGGTAAGTAAAAATAGCCCTGCATTTGTACTCTTAATTTTTTTAGGTGATGTTTTTGTAGGTGTATTTTTGGTGATAATTTTGTTTTTCATCAGGTTTAACTAACAGTAAATATTCAGTCAAGTGTTGAACATGTGGTCAACTTGGAATCCAATCCCCCATTTAGCATTTTAGTCAAAAGACGACAACACTCTAATTTTCAAAGCAGGACTTTATCTAAACTTTATCTAAATAGCAGACCAATCACATTCGTAGCGTTCTAGAGCGCTGTTGCGACTGTCGGTTATAAACATGTGAACCGACTAGATTCGGCAATGTCCGTAGATGCTTACAATCCACACACCGTTTGCGTTTATTTTCGCGTTTTATAAGTTGAAATTAATGAAAAAATAAAACACGAAATAAAAAGAAAGAAAAGAAAGTGCGTTCTTTGCATAATGCATTAGATGCAGTTTTTTCGCACTTCTCTAGACAATCCAGGCGCGACCGCGATGGCGCGCGAGCGCGATCGCCGCACCTTAAAACACAAGGTCCTGATTCACTTGTTCCAAATTTACTCTACCCTTACACTTTTAGATAGAATAAATTTACCTAGAAAATTATTGCAAATCATGTGAATAATTTTATATCTATGGCGATGTAAAACTAAAAGCGAGCACATTTATGGTGGTATTAATATCCAAAAATCCCTACCGGCGCTATTCGTTATCCCATGAAATTGCCCCAGAATGTTTAATTTAGCCGTACCTATCTTTGGCCTGGAGTTGATGGCCGTGACATGTATTTGGAGCTAGGTAGTAGCGACAGTTAATCCAGACTTGCAATCGCGTGCCATTACTCGATGTTCTAAACGGCATTGCATCTTGTTTATATTGTCACAAGTGAGTAACATCTTGCTGCAGAATTGGTGAGATTTTTTGGGCAAATTAAGTTCTACCCAAATGCAGCAGGGGTGATAATTCAAACAAGAGAACTCTTGGGTGGACTTGCTGCATTTTCAGTGTCAGTGCTACACATAGCTATAGTGCGTTCACAACGTATAACCGACTTACGCCTGTACCGTACTTAGTTGGCTGCTAAGTCTCGGTTAAAATGCGTATCACACCCGAGATAGCAAGAGTCGAGGCTGTAGCTAGCTCGCGTTATAATATAGACTGGTACCCGGTCGACAGTTCCACACTACGCTAACGTCGTGAGCGAACGGGTAGCAGTCTAGCGCGTCACACGATACAGATCAATACGCGGCCAGCTGTGGTGGCGAATAATACGCGCGCTTAGTTGCCAGCGGAATTATGATTCCGCGTAAGTTCACAAGCCAGAGCATTTTCGCGGCTAAGCCAAAGCCGTCTTAAGCAAGCCGCGTATATTTAGCGTGTAAACGCAACTTTTCTCCTTCGGTGAACGCAGCTAGTGTAACCTTTACATCCCCCAAAAATATCACCAGAGTACCTGAGAGTAAAATGTTACAAAACAAATTATCTTGGGTTAGTGCAGTACACTCCCATCAGATTCCTGCATTACCCTTTGAGTCCTGGATTCCATGTCAAATATCTCCTACTTTGTAAAACATAAATTGCCTTTCACTTTTCTGGCATATTTTTTTTAGAATTTGGAACCTATGATGCCATAAGTTTTACAAAATGTGATTTCGTGTGAAACTTTTATTATATTTGTCATTTAGGTGTTGAGTTGTGCTTTGAGAAATATTTGAACTTTTTAGTTGTGATGATTATTTTAATATCTAAAAAGGTAGCTGCATAGATCTGTGAAGTGAGTCTGTCTTGTTATTTGTGAAATTGCAGTTCATGGGGGAGTAATGTACACTTTTGCTTTGAATCATGTGTTTGAATTTTACAATGCACTGTCATATAATCTTACCTTATGATTTACTTTGCAAGAGTATGTTTTAGGAAATGGAATGTACATGATGAAGGGGGCACTACTGTTTTTGTGTTTAAATGTCTTATGCATTTGTGATTAAACTGCAATCTCTTGGGTTTTTATTGAGATTTTATTCTAGGATGGATCAATAGTGTTGAGGATTCGGTGCAGTATTTCAATGAGACACCGGCTATGCTCGCACCTGCTCCGCTTAGAGCGCTGTCGTAACGTCGGTTACTCCAGCAACCTGCAAGTAGTCAGGTCTAGGTCCATGTGTTTATATTATGCTAGATATTCTAGAAATGTAGCTTCAATTCGTTGCAGAGATATGAGAGTTAATAATTTCATGTCCGCCTATAGCGCAATAGCGTTATTGCGGGGGGGGGGGGGGGTTAACAGGTCTGTATACAATGGCGCAGCTACAGGCGGGGCACGGTTCACCACCATTTTTAAACTCATCTGCTCAACTTCACTTCAAGAAATATCTACATTGGCACCCCCTCTAATATTTATAGTACTGCGCATAGACACAACTGTGCAAGTTGTGATGGCTTTTTGTCAGCTCTGTGACGATCATATGAAGCTAAGGGAACCTTTAGCTGCCTAAAGTGTTTTTACTATCACAATTTGCATTGAATAACCGATCTGGCGCATCAGCGTCGCCGCCCTGACATCGTTTGGTTAGTTCCGCCGGTACCCCATTAACACATATAATATGAATCTGCAAGAATATTGTGATCCCCTGCCACAGCATTAGTTTTCAATGATACTGCTGACAGTGTGTGTCATTGAGATACCTGGCATTTGCACTAGTAACATAGATTGTTAAAGAAAGTAAGAAGGTTTGCTAACTCTGACTCGAAACTAGGAAGTGCTTTGTGTGCCGGACCTACATTCTATTGTCTGCTGAAGGGCAAAAGGCAAAAGTAGGTCCACATCTGCGTAGCGCTGCCCTAGTCATTTCCCTCTAGGGCAAGCTTACTCTTGGATCTGCCTGTTGTATTCAAGAATAGGCGCAGGGTCCCGTACCCACATAGTAATGAGATAGGTTGGTCACGCAAACCGTAAAAGGAGTGCGTCACCTGTGTGCGTTTCATTTACCTGAGCAGACGCCCGGCCAGAGAGCACAGCCAAGATGCGTGGAGGAGTGGCGAACAACAAACCGCAAGAAGCAGCAGAAAGGGACAGTGAGGAAGAGGGTTTTATGGATCCGGCGCCTAAGTGTGCCCCCCTACGTTACGTCGTCGACAGACAGATCTACACGCAGGTAAATGTGACGAGCACTTTCATCTGGTTAGGGCAGGTGTCATCGATTTCCGCAGATCTTTTGTAGTTTTATGATTTATCGCACCGATCGGAAGGTAACACTCGCGTACCGAATTTAAATGAAGTTAAAATGAATGGGGTTGAATGGAACTCGCTCAGAATTTTAATTTCAAGCTGTCTCATCTTGTTAGATCTTATCGATGGACGACCGTTGTTGGTAGCTGTGATGTTAACAGTTGGCTCAGGGCAGATGTACTTGTACTTGGCATCCAATATTAATTTGCAGTGTTTTGCTTCATTGTGAATGCGACTCATTGAAACAAAATTTTGGATTACACTCCAAAAAAGCAGTGCGTGTATTTTGATCGCAATCTGACTCCAACAATATTCGTAACTTGATACATATGCCGGTTTCAAGCCAACAAAATGCTTGATGCGATGAAACTATGTACATCGTGACATTGATTGCACAAACTACATGATACGATATATTGTGTCATGTTCCAGATATATTTTGAAATACTGCCAGAAAGCTCATTTAATCGCTAGATTGGTGTGTGCTGGTACTATTATTGCATTATATATACTGTAATGGGGTTAAACACACACAGGCTTTGGCAGCGTTCCCGTATCAGTTATTAGTTTTAATTGACTTACAGTTGAGCTGAGGGCTTGTAACCATATATGCAGTCGGCCGGTTAGCGGTGCACAACGTGCCTTTCTCTTCTCGGTTGTCAATAATTCCGCCGCGGATACAGCTTGCTTGGGGTTCAGCTGCTTTTCCTGACTACCGATTCATTCGTCTGCCTCACAGTACCGATCGTCTAAAGGGTGTGTCGTGGTGGAACGGCTTCCTTGCAAACATAACCAGATTAGATTACGTGCGTGCGTGGCACCCGCAGCTTTGGTATATTAACCAGCATTTTATTGCTGCAGCATTGTGTAGTGCAGCGTTGTGTAGGGCAGTGTTGTGTAGGGCAGTGTTGTGTAGTGCAGTGTTGTGTAGGGCAGTGTTGTGTAGTGCAGTGTTGTGTAGGGCAGTGTTGTGTCGTGCAGCGGAATACAATGTAGTGCAGTAAAGTACTGTGATCTCCAGTGCACTGTAGTGTAGTGTAGTGTAGTGTAGTGTAGTGTAGAAGCACAACAATTAAAAGTTGGCACATTTGTTAAACTCCCACCTTAAAGACGGAGAAGCGGCGAGTTCGGCTGGAGACCGTTGTTGCACAGTGAGAGTTGGGTTGAATATTTTCCGTGACCCTGATATGGGAGACGCCGTAACACCTCTGCTTCCACGGGTAAGTGTTCTGTGTGCATGGAATGCGGCACCTGTGTTGCAGTGACGACTCTGTGACACCGAATCGTGACAAGGTGTCTTGCAGCTTGACAAGGTGACACGCAGCGTCGGCTAAATGGCAGCGACCTTGTGTGACAGTTCTAGGAAATTAGTGGCGAGACGAGCTTTCCATTGCTGATCGATTAGGGTGAAAGTTTCTCAGTGAATGAATCCAGTGCCAGGGTGCGGTCTTGGTAATGGATGTGTGTATGTGTGAGGACGAATGCACACCACAATGATGCGACAAAAGGGTAAACACCGACTGCAGCAAGAGGCTAGGGGCTGTGCACGCTGAGGGGCTCGCGTGCACGTGACGGAATTGCGAGGTAGGGGCATCTGGCAAAGAAGCCAGAGGGTTAAAGACCTATGTATACAGAAGGTGACGGGGAGAGAAACCAAAGAAGGGGCTCGAAAGGCGACGGGATTGGTGCAGTTGCTGCGCGTGCGGTGCCGCATCCGCAGAACCCAGTCAGCCAAAAACCACATCGGGCCCGAAAGCGCGAGCGCTACGACACACAGCGCCACAGAGAGAACCGACATACATGGTAGAACAACAGATGACGAGCACAGAAACAAACACGAACCCGGCAAGTGCGCAGAAGAGTGTGCATAGGTGCGGAACTGGATAGTTTGAGGAAAATCTGGCTTACAGAAGAAGGAGGCATGCGAGCATGTGTTGCAGTGTAGTAGACGGTACGCAGTGCGTTCGTGCCACGAAAGCCCAGACGGGCTAAGAAGCATTCAGCGGGAAAGAAACAAGAGCAAGAAACGAGGAAAGCGGGAACCAAGGAGGCCGGAAGAAAACTTAGGGGACGACCACGAAGATAAAAGACAACGACAACATCAAGGAAGCAAACACTCGCGTGCGAGTGAAGCAAAAGAACCACAAGGAAACACGGCAGACAGATAAAGCAGACGAAGAGCACAGCGCACAAGAGGAACCAGAGGAAAGAAAAACAAAGAGGGCGAGGAACAGGAGGATGAAACACACGCAACGAGCACAAGAGGTGCAAAACAGAAGAGGATAACACGAAGCAAAAGGAAGCACGAGAACGTAGAGGAAAATGCATGGGCGCGCAACGGGGGCGCGATGTGTGGACGGAATTGCGGAGCCACCGACACGAAAGATAACAGCGCACATCAAAACAGAAACTTATGTGAGCGTGCGCAGATTACAAAACATACACACAGGCCAATATAGACACCGATACGCTCATAGTAGACCGTGGACAGAGGGTGACGGTGTGAACTGAGAAGTGGTCGCTGATGGAAAAGACAATTGTGGATGCTCGAATGATGACTAGGACTCGAATAAACTAAACATCACTGTGTTGTGATATGTGTGAAAAAAATCGTGTGTGTAGTACGCAAACTCCGCGCACGCCGTTAGCCGGAGCGTATGCGACGTCTCAGCAGCTGCAGTATCGAGACGGTGCGGTGCGTTGGAGGACGACGTCAGAGAAGCGTGAAAGCGGCGTGGTGACTTGGTGCGTGACTGCAGGTCCGAACCAATGAGTGCAAAAGGAGAAACACGACCGAGACACAACGCCACGAGAACCGACAAGTGGCGTGCGCGTGGGAGGTGCGAGTACACGCATAGCTGCGATGGAAGTGCCAAGTAGCGGTAAGGCATAAGTGCCGTAGGTGGCGAAAGACGAGAGCAGGCACACAAAAGGCAGCAGAAAGCAATGAGAAAAGGACAGCCAGCACACAGGAAAATCACAAAGACAAAAGCACAAACCCACTCACAGGCCCTCCTGAGGAAACGGGCCATAACTGGCGCCCCACCCGCTCTAACAAGATAGCACGTCTGCCGCTAAAAAAACGCCAGAACATGCGCAAATATGTTGCGTGCACGGAAGTGACGTTGCGTAGACGTGAGTGGGGCGTGCGTGCGTATGCCTGTCGCGAGCCAGACAGCGGGGGATGCACAAATAAACAAATAAACAACACAGTGCTGCTGCCGCCACAATGAACACCAAGCCGCACACAATAAGACAGGAAGAAGGCACCACAAAGAAAAC